TCCAACTTTAACAATCTCTGTGCGAAGTGCATGTGTTACAACTGCTGAGCCTGTCGGATCAGATTTCATAAATTCAGTATCCCCGTGTGTTAAAATATTTATTATGTCATCCTCTTTTAGCTCAGCAACACTATTCTGTGGATTTCTTTCTGACAAAGTGGAATCCTCTTGTTTATTATTGTTATTATTATAGGTTTAAACAGGACAGAGAACATTTTCTTCATTGTTTTCTTTTTCAAATGAAATAGCATATTCACAATCTTGCACTTTGACCTCTTTGCTGCCATCAAAAGGAACAGATGCTGGCTTACTGGAGTTATCATTTCCAGCAAGGAAAACTTTCAATTTGCTTGATTCCACAATCGAAGCTGCAAATTGTGCACATCATTTGCGTCCCACTTTCTCTTTTCGACATAATGGACTAAAAGAATAAATTAATAAATACTGACTACATTATTTAGTCGCAACATGCAAATTGTCAGATTAAAGGAAGCATTCTACTTTCCTAACCACAAATTATATTTAAATTATACAATTACAGTTGCAACTCAGGACTAGTTAGGCACATCTGAACCTGGTTTCACTTTAACTGCCATTATTTAGACCACCCATGTTAATTAATGTGACATAACAGTAAGAAAATCAATGCAGATGAGTGTATATGCTGGTAAATCGTGCTTATGAGCACCATATAAATTACTGGCAGTTGCTAAAATCACATTTAAAAACTCGATAGGTTTAACTACACGAACACTACAGGAGACAAGTCTGAAATTGCTCGAATGAAAACCACACACTGTGGAGAAGGGTGTAATCATAACATAAGCCTAGAGGCTCAAAGGCTATATTTAATATTAAAGGTTTTGACAGAATAAGAAAACTTAAAAGCTAACTAATTAGTGTTGCTAGATTACAGTTCCTAGATTAAGTCGCTAGTGCATCTAGATCTGACATTAATGTTAGACCTGTTATTTCCATCTTAGGTTTGGATCTAGATGTAATAATAATGACAGAAATTTAGCTTTATACATCTAAACTAGACCTTAGTTTAGGTGCATAGATTGAAAGCACCTTGTATTGAATCTACCCAAATCTCGATATAACCCTACATCATCTAGGTCTATTAACTTAGTCATTAGATCTGTCCCAGTGCAATGCGTAGTTTAATAGTTAGTATAGGTCTAAGTATGCCTATAATATAGGCTACAATTTGCATGATGGTAGACCAAGGGTCTAGAAATAAAAGTAACTGCAATTAGACCTAAAGTCTAGTACATTAGTTGATGTAAGACATGATTTACAATCAGCCAATACAATTACAAACCACTACATTAGGCCTATAACGTTTACTAGATCTGGACCTTGCCTGTTGCATATATTGTCAATCTTGCACACCAGTTAATATGTTACAATCTTGTATTTTCTTTTTTTTTGTTGAACATAGACTTACTTGTACATTGTACTCTAGGATTTGTATTTGATCTACAGATGAATGATGGAATAGTTTAATTTACTTCTGTTCGTCAATTCGGTCTCACTGTATTTCAGTGGGCGACTTAAAAGTTAAAACTGCAAGCGTAATACACACAAATAACGTAACCACTGTGTCGTATTTACTTAACGTATGGTAGTTGCGCTATATCCTAGGGGAGAGCATAATTATTAATTAATAGGCATTATAGGCCAGAGGAAATTTTGCGCCCCCTTCACTCCTGCGCTCGGGGGCGATTACACCCCCCTCTTGCTACGCCACTGCCTGAAGGTGCAAATATTGAAAAGTTTTTTGGTTCTAAATAGAAGTTATGTAAATCCAATATAAATTTGCTATTTTAGTTTTAGACCGTAGTATGAAATACTACAACTCTATTTTGTCAAATTTCGAAACGTTCTACCAACAAAATAATGTTATTTTGGAAAACTTATATTGGTACGACCATTGCCTATGAATATAAAGTGGAGGGGGTGAAGAATGTTTTGTTGTAACCCAACAAAGAGCGACTGTTATGGATGCTTGTTAATTTCTACCCTAACATTTCAAACTTTTTTTTTTTTTTCCTTTATAATGCAAAGTTTATACATCATAATTTACGTAATGCTTTAGCATAAAAACAATTTTTAAAAAGCCAATTCTGTTGTTTATGACACTTTATGCTAATAAAAGTGCTATAATTTTATATGTTAAAGAAAATGCATGTGCAATATGGATGTTTTTCGAATAACTTGCTCAGCAATTTTTTGAGAATTGTTTTCATATTCAATGTCTTATTGATTGCTCAGATGTCTGTTACCAAGTGAAAAAAAAGGAGGGGGGGGGGTAGTAATCTCAGTATCAACATAGCCAGAAATTGTTTTAAAACCAAAAAGAACTTTTAGAAAAAACATAACTTATTCACCCAATATTCGATTTTCTATGGTTATATACGAACGAGTTGTATGAATTACCACAACTCATACCCAATTTCGATACGTTCTACTACGACGTATAGAAGTGTATACAAATATAACGAAAAACATAAACATAAGCATAGCTCATTTGAATAGCTTTATTGTGGACAAAGAAATACAAAAAAATATTATAGATAAACAATTTCTATAAATTTCAACTAGGCCACACAGAGATTAAGTTCTGTTCCCATGAGGATGCCGAGTGGCCCACTTGAAACATTTAGAGTATTTAAATCTGACCATTTTGGCTAAGCAGCACAAAGATTCCTTAGTTTTATTTTTATTAGTATTACTGGTAATCAATTTGTCATTAACCGAGTTGGTTATTTCTTACCAAAATTAAAGACTAACGGAAATACCTTAATGGATTCCAGGTTTCAGCTTTATAGAGTTAAGTTTTTTCATCCGAGACGGAAACTTATTTAAATTATTATGGGATATTTTAATCCTCATTTTAACATTAAGAATACAATTTAGTGTATGCTAAGTGACATCTTGTAAGAGTTCAATGGGTGTAGAAAGTTTGTAGTGCTTAACGTACAACACTAATCCAAAACACAAGTTTACACACACATATATACATACAGACTTATACTGGTAAAAGCCCAAAATCTAAATTAGAGCCATTTTTCAAATTTGTAAAATCTTATCCACAACCTTTGTATGAATGTTAAAATTCAACAGAAACGAGTTATTACAAGATTAATGTTGAGAACTCCAGGTAAGAGGAAAAAAAATTAGAGTTAAGTCTAAAGGGGAAGGGAAAAACCAGTGACAGAGTTCACATTGCAAAAAGCACGTGAGATGAACTAAAAGTCAACATTTTGCATTTTCATAACTTCCACCAATAGCAACAGTTTAAATATTGGTTTAATTAAACTTTCATTGTTAGTTTACCAGTTGGCTATAGGAATTTATGCATGTTTTTCACTATAGAATGTATAAACATTTCAAAGTAACTGTTTTAAAATATTTAATAAAATTTGTTAGAAAATTAAGTTACTGCAAGTTCAAACTTTATAGGAGACTAAAATCAAGCAACCAATATGTTAATTATTATCTTTACACTAGTTGAAGATTTATTAAGTCAAAGTAATTTCAAAGTGAAAAGTTAATTGTACTATAGTCATGGGTTGGTAATCCTTTTTTTTTTCTCTCCCAAAATTCCAGACATGCACACACAAACTAGTATTTCAACTTCTCATAATTCTAACTAATGAAAACTACTTTAGCTGCTAATCTTTGTACAAAATAACTTTAGAATTTTCTTCCAACTAAAATATGGTAATAGAAAAACATCACAACTTAAGAGTACAAGTTTTAAAAGTTACAGAAAATAAAAAAAAATTATGAAACCTATCAAATAATTAGGTGATTGGTACTATAGAAAATAAAATGGTAAAACAAATATTTTAGTTATTCTTTCAAATAAGGTTTAATCTCATCTTATATATTAGCAAAGTTCTAAACTTTGCTTGTTCATTAAAAATACTCATTAAACTCTTATTAATATTCGAAACCATGATTACATATTTTAAGTAATGTCTGGGGAATAATGGGTTTCTGATTTTCATACATTTTGCCACATCTGTTAAAATGATGATGCAACAGTATGTATAATATTTTGTTTTACTTTAAACCTGCTTTCTGCATTAGCAAGGGATATAAGAGTTGCAACATTCTATAGAGGTACCAGCAAGTTAAGGACATTGGTTATAAGAGGAAAAAATTAAACAAGAATTATTACAACACAAACTTATATTCCAGAATACAGCCAATTCTCTTCCTGCAATTTAACAGGATCGCAAATAAAGAGTTGAAATATTCAAAATATAATAATCTAGTTCAAGTTACCTTTAATATGTTAAATAATTACTGTAATATACACAGTTTAAAGTTTAAGCAGGAACAGCATTAGGTATCAACAAGTTGAAAGGGTTCTGCAACATTAATTATACTTTAATTGTTTGGCCAACAGGTAAATGTTTAGATTTACATTTTTTGAAAAAAAAAAAATGCTCCAAAGCTTTAGGACTTTTTGTAGCTTGTAATAAATATTCTTTCATAAAGACTAAACCTAGTCTTATTTTAACTTCATTAGATCACCAAGTTGGTGCTTTCAGGCAATTATATAATTTTCTGTTGGAATGAAGTTATTGCAGTTACAGTAGTTTACTTAGGCTTGAATTTGAAAGCTTAGTTTTAAAATAAAGCTTTAAATATTATGACATTCGAGATTTGAAATTGTACTTACAATTATTAGCATGGGTTTACTACTAGTAATAAAATTCAAGTAGACTTCACTCCTTTTGTTCACTATACAAAATGAAGATATTATAGTTTACATAAGATCTTTAAAGTAAGAAAGAATAATTTATTTCCATTTATTGTCCATAATCTAAAAATCAAATACAATCATTCATTTCTGAATAGCTCGTCAATTTAGCCATTGTCCACAATCACCATGTACCTTACATTAAAATGTTCAGATAAAAAATAAACATTAAAAAGCTATGTCTATTACAGCAACACTATTTTACATTTTTTTTAGATGAAACAAACATTTAAAATACAAACTAAAAACATTAATGTTAAAACTTGTTTATACATTCTTAAAGCCTACGACTTCTCAAAGGCTCCTGCCATTTCCTTCACTAATACAGATTTTAGTTCTGGGATCAAGCTAATCTTCATTAATTTGTTGCTGCTGTACTTCAGTCTAACAGCCTGAAATGGAGAGAGGAAATTAACCAATGGTACACTGAAGAGTTTAACTAAATCTTGCTTTTCCATTTAAATTGAGTTGAAAAGCAAAAAGTTTTTTTAAAATAACTTTTTCTTTTAACCAATTTCAAAAACTAACAAGTTATATAGTAGTGGTAGTTACAATTCATTGATTGCCTTTGGATTTAACCAAAATTATATAGTCAAACTTAGCACCAAAAATAAATCTTTAACACCATAGATAAAATAAGACTTTTTTTACCTGCATTTTTGAACTATCAACTTTCAAAACCAGAATACAAAGTTGTTTCATTACAGACTTTAGCTGCAACTCATTGTAGTTGCTGAAATAGGTCAAGGTTTCTGTCCAAGGAGCCTTATCTAGTAATTTCATAGCCAAACAGAGAGAAGCTGCTGCTAGTTGAGAAGGAGAGATATGAGCCATGTGGTACTCTGGGAGAGTTAGCTCCATCAGGTATTTTGCTAAGGTGTGCATCATGACATCAGCCTAATAAAATAAATTGAATAATAGTTTTAATCTCTCAAATGTTATGATTAAAAGGAAAGTGCTTTGAATTATTATGACCAATATAAACTGAAGAAAAAATAAGCCTACTATTAATTACTACTCTAATTTAGTAGCAATATTCTATAAAACATTTTAATAAAGTTATTGTTGAGTGTCAATATTTATATAGTTTTGTTGAATTTGAGTTGGTGTCACAGGAAGCTTATTCAGAACAATAATTCAAGTTTCAGAAATTCTTTCATTAGTAGTAATGACAAGTAAAATAGGAGTCACAAGTTTAACACAATAGGAGTTTAAATAGTAGACTAGGTTTGAATTTATAATTGAGTAATATACAAGAATCTTGAAAGTTTTCACGGCAGCAATTTTAGTTTATATGCCATTTTCTTGCACACATGGAGCTTTTGAATATTCTGCATTGGGATGAAAAAAAAAAAATGCATCAAGACTTACAACCACCATTACATCTGAAAATAAATTTTAAAACATACAAAGAATCTTAAGCTATTTTTCAGTAATAAATGGCACAGATAAAAGGTTAATGTTCTGCCCTCACTAGATTGAGGCACAAAAATACAAAACAATATACACAACTAAATTATCAAATAGAAAAAAAATTTAATCTTATATCTTGTTTAAAGAATACAAACAAACAACTGCATGATTTACTGGTAAATAACCATGCTAATAATGTACATTGTTGCTTTGTAGTTAAGTTACATTTATAGTGGCATCTTTGCAATAAGACCTTATTCGAACAAAGTTACTTTTATTTCCAGACAGAAATAGTTATAATTTGTATTAAGATAAAAAAATACCAAGATATTTATCCAAAATGAGCAACAAGCAAGATATGCTGATGCCAAGGTTTACAAAGACTATTGTAATGAAAATCTTACACTGCAGTAATAATCTAAATATTAAAAAGTTACCAATATTGCTAACAATAGGATGCGTGTGGTACCCATCTTCATAAAACTGTAATTATCAATACGTATTTTTTTTTTTTTATTTTTATTTATTATTATTATTATGGATGATTTAAATTTTTAGATAGAAGCCAATTAAGTATTATACACACACACACACACACACACACACCTATCTAAGAATGGAGCTGTCAGTTACAGGAGAGCTAGATATGGAAAGTGTGCATCACAAAACCAATACCTTTCCAAGCATTGCTAGTGCACTAAAACATTCAGTAGAGGCTCAAGATATCTCCTAATAAAGTTCAGCATTCACTTTTATTAAGTATATTTAAAAAAAATGTTTGAGCAAAACCCTCAAAATGAATAAACTTACATTCCCTGCTTTTGAATCTCTCCTAAGGAAGTGCAGAGGTAGTGGTCGGCCTAGATTGAATTCAAGAACTCTTAGGATCAAACACTCCATCTTTAAGATGTCTTTCTTTGTATAAGCATTGTCTGTTATGTAAACAAAATCTCCAATCTCTGGAGCATACATTTCTTCATACTTTGAAGCAATAAACATACAGGTGACACCAACCAGTTGAAGCTTACAACGTTCTACTTTGCTTTCCTAAAATGCAAAAGATAAAGAAAAATAACTTAGTTAAGTCAAACACACACACACACACACAGAAAGTAACTTTAAGCAGTGTGGTTAATTGATTAAAGTTGTGTGAATAGCACCTGCATTGCTTTTGTTGATGTTTAAGGCTCCATGCAGTTCTTTTGCATATTCTGAAATATTATCATCAACAAGCAAAATGCAGGACCTGTTAATAATTGTAATAACACCAACTAGTAGAACAATTTTACTAAACAGTAATACATTTTAGTAATTTGTTTTGAAATTTCAGTGTGTATGCAACACCATTTGAACTTGAAGTTAAATACACATTTTAAGTGCACCAATTTAAGGGTAAAACCTTTTCTAGAAAATACTGCTTTTGCAATAATAAAAAGATGTAATGAACTTGGGAAATTAACAATGGGAAGAAGAGATCCACCATTCTTTCACTTACTTGAAGAAATCTATCTAGGATAGCTATTGTCAAGTAAAGAGTTTCCTGTAAGAGATGAAATCTCTGGTGGACACTGACTAACCAATCAACCAGAATACTGCGCATTCTGCCACTTATTTGAGACTGCTTTCCAAGATGATTCTCTTTGATACTGTACTGAGCCTATGATGAGAGATAATGCTTTTCTTTACAAATGCATAACAAATTTACCACACACTATGATACTTTAGTATTTAACAGTAATATACAAAAATATTAGTACTTGTCAGATAGTTCATTCACAATACATATTAAGACTACCTTGTTAACAGTTCTGTATAAAAAAGATTTTATTACAAGGATTTTATAGTTTGAATGTCAGTAAGGGAACCATCTAAACTTACCTCCAAGTCCCTTAAGTAATTGTAGATATCATTAACATAGTCACTGACTAATTGAGGGTTGTCAACATCCTCAGCATCAATATTCTTTACATTATCAGGAAGTAAGTGAGAAGAAAAGGCATTATCATCATCTGAAGTACTAATGTCCATCAATATACAATCAACCTAAAAAGAAAAATTAAATATTTGCAGTTTGGAACTAATGTACTTAAACACTTCCTAGTATTTATTTACTTATTACATTTTGTATTTGTTTGGTGTCAAAGCATACTTTGCATACACTTATGCATTGTTGAGGTGTATTTTATTTATTTATTTTATTAACTTCTTGTACCAGTGAAAAGCTCACAAGCAGTATTTTAAAATCAGAGTATTATTCAGGATTAATATTAAGTTTAACTTACAATATTGCCGATTACATGTTAAAATAAATACACAAACAAGTTCGTTACCTAAAATATACACATGATGAATGTTAACATTATAATTATCACATTTTTTATTTATTATTATAATATGCAAAAATACTTCAGTATACTTCACCTATTATTCCAGATCTGATAGTAATAGTATGTCCAAGTTTCATTTCAAAGTAAAATAAGTTCCACAGATGGATCTCATTTACTATATAAATTCTCTAATATTAGCTTATAATAGTCAATTCAGTAATATTGTAGCTTTGCAAATCATTAAGAAGTTAATTTTACTGCACAATTTGATCAGTTATTACAAATTATATCAATTTACACCAACAGAATAGTGTGGAACAGATTTATGATGAAAATGTAGATTACAGATTCAATAATTACATTTATCTGTAGCAAGAAATCCAAGGTTAAAGATCAATTTTTATCTAAATACATCCTTACTTTCTCACTCTTGTCATTCTCTGGTACAGTTACAAGTGAAACAGTGGATTTACTTCTCAAGAGATTTTTGGTAGGTTTCTCTTCTTTCAACTTTAAGGAATTTTGCTGGAAAAAAAAAAAAAATTCATATGAAAGCTTTGTGCATCTCCTAATGCTAAATACTTATGTAACATTACTACGTCTTTAAATTAGATAAAGAGGTCTATTACAGTCAACAGTTGTTAACTTAATCTGAGAAGAATGCATTTATTATTGTCACAGCCTACAAGTTCATTGAGTATAATAAATAATTTTATTATTGATAATATTAAAGTAATATATCACATTAAACACACAGTCATGAGACGACAGACATGCTTGCTTTGGCTATCCAAAACATGGAAGGTCAACTTTAGAATCTTCACACAAAACTTAATCTTCCATACACACAAATGTGTCCATGGTAATTTAATCTTGTGCAAAGTTTGCTACATCAAAATTTATAAGCAACAGTAATGTTTGAAAAGCACCAGCATTAATCCTAAAGTCTTCTTAACTTTTAGTAACTTTAAATAAGTTCTACAATTTCAGAATTTTCCTTGGCACAAATCTGAACTGTTTATGATAGCTTCTAAAACTTCCCTTGTACAAGCCAGCAAGGAATGTTACATTACTTTTTAAAATAGTTTAATCAGACACAGTTTAAACTAAATATCAAGTACTTTTTTGACAGCTCCCCTGGTAGAAACATTTTTTACAGCTCCAACTCTGTTTTTAATATCTCCAAGTGCCTGCCTTCCTGTCTTTACCGACTTTGTCTCTTGCTTAAGAAGACCACCTGCAGTATTTTCTCTGTTCAAAGTATCCTGTAAAGAGAAAATAAATTAATAAGAATACATTACTTAAATCTACATTCATAAGCTAATATTACATACTTAAATCATTTAAGCCATAATCCTAATTAAATCAAACTGCAGCAATAGAACCACAAATAAGAAACATTAAACTTAAGTGTTTCATTCCCAGTTGTAAGTGAAAGAACAGCAGCTGATAAGCTACATCAGAACAGTACATTTTAATTTTGGTATTCTTAGCATATCCAAGTTCTCCCACTATACTAGGATTTCAAGAACTGATGTATTGGAAAATTGAATTGGTATCAGTAAAATTAACAATGAAGTGTTAGATTTATGGTCATTAGACATTAGAATTAGGCCTAATACTTTGAACACTTCTTTTTCTAGTCCCTTAGGGATCTTCAAGAAGTAGAAAAGTATAATAACAATGGTATTTCAACCACACTATGTACACCATATCCACTGCTGATTTTTCAATCAATCTAGAGCTCAGATATGTCAGGAATTGATAATAACAGTTCAAGTGAAAGGTGATGTTCATGTGAACAATAAAGATACTTTTGTTTACCATCCAGTTTGCACTTCCTTAGCCTCTAGAAACACCAAGATGTTTAACTGTCGGTTTTCAGTATCCCTAAAAGTTTTATTTGGCATTTACTCTTTCCACCACAAAATGTCACTAAGTCACCAATATAGAGCTAAAATAAATAGTTAATAACAGATACATAATATCACGTTAAGTGGCACTCTGTAAAAAGGCCATTGCATGCACACTTTAATTTCCAGTTCCATCCATGCCCTTAGGGCTAAAAACAAGACAAGGGACCATTTGGTTTTTCAAGACTGTCCTTACATGCCCATTCTAAGGAAAAAACAAAAACAAATCAAACTTTAAGCATACCCTTATCTATTTGGGAAATCAGAGATCCCTCCCAGACTTTGTAAAGTGTTAGCCTTCATTATTGGAACAAATGTTAAATCACCCTGCTAAAAATGTCAGTCATTTCAACTCGAACTTATCCACTAGTTGGTTCAATAACAAGTACCAACATACGTTGTCTACAAAAAAAACAGTTTGTAAAGATTTTACTAGGTTGAATTCATCACAAGTTAAGAAATATTAATTTCACCTCCCCCCCCCACCTCTCTCCAAGTATAGGAAGTACATGCATTACTTATTCTGCATCATTTATCACATTATATTGTGGACTAGTTTGGCTTTATTTTTCAGTTATTATGGTTAATTAGATCAAGCTGTTAACATACAAGCTAAAGAATGTATGAAAGTTACTGTATACTTGAAGTCTTTATTGCATGGGTGTCAAAGTCAATAATGCAAGATACTTGTGACTACTTCATACTTTAAAATTGTTCTTCCAATATAGGCACCAAACTTTAATTTAGAGATTATTACATCTACCCCGTCTAGGCCTAATCCTTTGTTCTTAATCTTAGATAAAAGATTAATAATAATTTGAGACTTCTGTATAATTATAAATATTTCATTTGGACTAAACACACACAGGTTTGTAGTAGGTTATATTTTTACTAAAAATACAAACAAGATACTTAAAGAGTTTAATTTAAGTAAGTTATACACAACAATACCAAAATTAACCAATACTTACACGTCTTGATTTACTCTCACATTCACAAAGGTTAGTAAATTTTCATGTACTGCATTAGTTAAATTAGTAACTTTCTATAAAATATAATGAATCATGGTTGGTTGAACTGGATAGAGGGTAAATTAAACGTTGTATTCACACTGATCCAAGAAATGCACCAATTGTATTATTCTACTCCATTGAACACACTTTCTCGCGCTTTAAATAAGTATTTTTAATCCTTGTTCTAACCTTAAAAAAATTATTTAGATTTTCATTTAATAATAATGAATTACAACTCAGTACAAGTTACGTTTGAATTATGGCTTAACTCGTCTAACGAAATTGAATTTATGTCTAACTCAAATTCAAAAGCCTATGCACAAGTTATAATTTCCGTTCAAAATAAAATTAATAATATAACCTACATACAATTTGAGAAAGTGCAACGCTGCCCTTTCTCAGCCACGCTTAAACGAAAATTTTATACTAATACTTAATTATAGAAACACACAATAAAAAAACAACTAATAATATACTATTAGTATTACTACGAGATCTATACATACACACAGGCATCAACATTTATTTTCCTTAAACTTACGCTTCTATATCAAATAACATTAAATTCTAGCATTCCTTATTCTCATACCATATTGATCGAACGTAACGCCATTCTTCACTCGTCCAAAATTTATATAAATATAAAAAAGACGGAGAAATTCCTACTATCCTCGACGATCTTATTCCAAAACCACCTATCACCCACTCTCAGTCCTGTTTTCAAATACTCGCTCCTTTTTAGCTATTGGCTGAATGTTTCAAAGATATTTGAATTTTGATTGGTTAATTTTGGAAATACCATGACAACATGAATGGGTATTTAAATTGGTAAATAATATGCAATATATTACTACATAAATCTTGTACGTCAGAAGTTGGCATTTTAACTATAAATTTAAAGAAGAGAAAGATATATATATATATTCATAAAATTAAATGTCAGTAATTTTAATATGAGAACTGAGTGGTGGCCAAACAAGTAAACTTAAACTTTAGAAAATGGCGAATGATGCATCATGTGCTGCTGTGACATTTATTCAAACTCTTGCACACGAAGTTAATGAAGGGGATGTAGAAACAATCATTCATCAACAGAAACATATGTAAGAAACTATCCTCATAACTACCGTTAGTATTAGTAGTACTATATACATGTAAAAACTTTACTTCTGCCTAATATTACCGTACATATCTTGTGTCTAATTCTAAGATTTATTTTGGTCTAGGTGAATAGTACTACTATTAGTACTCAGTCGTGCTAGTAGTCTGTTATTTGTAATTTTGTATTACCAATAAAAATGTATATGTGGTAGACTGGTAGTGGTAGGATTTATGCTAATGATATCCATAGTATTACTATTACCAGTGCTAGTTTAAATTCCTGCTACGTATGTGCAAAACTCATCCCCACATACTGAGTGTCATTGATAAGATGCTACACAAAATATTACCTAAGAAAATCATATCGGTTGGAGTTTGGGAAAGACTAATTTAAAATTGAGTAGTGAATGGATGAGAGAAAGCAATATGTGATTAAATTTAAAGGAGGAGTCCAGTCAAACTGGACATTTGTTACTATATAGTATCTTAATGTAAATATATTGCCAGCCTCATGGGTTAATGCTTGGGTGTTAGTTGTTTCCTATTCACATTAATAACTGACACTAAAATGACAGGTGCATAATAAGTAAATTAGTAAAGACTAAAGTGTATTATTGACATTAAACTCTATTTTTTGGTAGTTTTGAATGTGTTGTGGAAGTTGAGATGCTATAGAATAGTAGGCAAATAACCAAAGTTAATTATAGTAAGTGCAAGGTAATGCATTTTGGGTTATAAGTTTGATCAGAAGTTTAATATAAATGAGAACCTACTAAATAGCATGACTAAAGTGTAAAGAAAAGTGTCTTGGCATTGTGGTAGATAAAGGGGTGTACTGTACTTATAATCACGTTATTTACAAGTCAAAAAAGTAATTATTTCTGTTGTAATATTTTTTTAAGTTTCTGTGTATTTTGAAACTAATGTGATACACAATATATTATGTTTTTGGGAACTGGTATGATAAAAATGTTTATACCAGTATTTTCTGACCCATGCCTATGCCTTAGACAGTGTAAATACTGCAATTGCAGGTATGGACATTTGAAAAGGACTTTATTCTCAGTGAGAAAAGTTGGAGCTGTAGCAGAAAAATAATTTGATATGATCTTTTATAAAACACTACTATTCTCAATTGAGTGTCTTAGCTGAGGTGAAAGAACTAATGCGAGTACTTAATTCTGCTTGTTGGAATTTTGAATTCATGAATTGAGGACACTACTAGTATGTCTAAAATATTACAAGAGGGATTAACATAATACAAAATTTAGACAACAAAACACCAAGCATTTGGTTCTTCAAGGCAAAAATGAAAATGTAAACTCACTCTTTCTTTAATTATTAATTCCCCATTTAAAATTGTGAAAAGTGTCTGCTTCCACTACTAAGAATGGTAACTCATTTCATAAGCCAATCACCATGTTAGAAAAGGAAAACTGTCTTAACTAGAGCTTAGCCTGCCCTTTTAAAATCTAAAACTTGTGTCCTCTTGTTTTAGTATATTCAGATTGTAACACATGAAATCAGAGGACCTTATCCTATCGATTCCCTGAGTAATCATGTAAACTTTATAATGCTACCTTTTATCCTTCTTTTCTAAAGATAAAATAAATTAAGAGATCTTAACCTATTTCCATAAAAATAACCCTTTCATCCCTATTATAATCAGAGAGAGAACTCTTCTGAACTTCTTATAAGTCAATATTCTTTCATTGATAAGGAAAATCAAACTGTACACATTGTGAGGCTGAAATAATTTTTTATAAAAAGGTAATTTTTTTAACTTGTAATAAGTTTCTATAAATAGGTCCTAAAATTCTACTACTTTGATATTAGCAACAGAGCACTGTTTCAGTGGTTTGAGTGACTTAAATATTCTTTCCTTCATTTATGATGTTGTGTTGATTCCCATCTATATTGAATGTGTGATCCCAATTATGATAAACCAAAGGTATTATCTTGTACTACAGTTATTGGTCATTTGGCAGATATTTGTCCAATTAACTAAGGGATTCTTCAGTACTTCAACACCATCAATGCAGCTAGACATTCCCGAGTGTGTAATAGCACCAACATATATGTACTTACAAATGCCCTTATGCCCTTATCAATGTATCATTTTCCTGACTTGTAAATGAAGTAAATTAAATTGATAATAACTAAATTTCACTTATTTAATCTAGTTCACATCATTACAGTTGTTCTTGAAATAGCTGATACAAATAGAGCTTAGACCACTACTTTGTTTGTTGTATCCCAGCCAGCCTGATGAGCCCTGGTATTGAACAAAAGGTCTAATCAGAACTGGCTGTGGTATATGTAGCATGGTTTACATATTTTCATATATTCTTTGCTTTCAATTATCAGTTCTTAGAATTAATGTAAAACACTGACCCTGAGGCTGCCCACTAGTAACAAGGTTCCAATTTCACTGGACTTCATTAATAACTTTTTCATTCTCTCATCCACACATTATGCAGTTTAATTCACTAATCTTTTTCCAACTTCTACAGGTGTGATTTTCTTAGCTACTCTTCTGAATGCCACTTTATCAAATGTTTTTTGAAAGTCAACACTCTTTCCATCATACACATACCAGATATGATTGAACTTTATCAAAAGAAAGTATAATGGCTGTCAATTTATTTTTGTTTTTAATGCTTTTTGTTATTAATATTTTTATTTTGTTTTTGCAGTACTGAACTGTATCCAAGTGTATATTCCATATAATGGGCAAGGCATCCCTGACAATGCTTATGCCACCTTGTGTAAAAGTGGAATACTGTTTGCAGTTTTGAGCCACTTGCTACAAGAAGAATATTCTACAATATTAACATGTTCAAATGAGTGTAGAGATGGTCTGTTAGAATGTATCTTGAGTTAAAGAGTATAGAATAATTGTAATCAGTTGATTTGAACATTAGAAGTAAATAATGTGTTTAAGTTTTGGAACTTGTATATATAGACATATTCTTTGATAGAATTGTTGTTTTTTTTGGAATGATTTGTCTGATGATATGGTGTATTCTGTTTGATTGAATCGTTTAAAATTTTGCTGGGTTATATTTAACGCTGCTAAAAGAAAAACATTTGATTTATGTGTGGTGAAGTACTTTGAATTTGAAAATGAATTAAAAATGTAGGGTAGTATCAGGAGTTCTACTTATTACTAGATTTCAGGACTACAATTTCAGAAAAATTTCTATGAATCATTTGTGTTAATGTTGCAGGGATAAAGCTAATTTATGCTAATCATTGAGTGGAAAAATTTAAAGTCCTGTTAGCACAAAGGTAAAATAGATGAACATGTGTGTGCTTTTACACTTGACTGGTAACCTGCCTTTACAGTCACTACTCCACTAAAACATGCATAATACTTTTAAACATCTAGTATAAAGACCAAAAATAATTACTTTCATTGTCCAAGGTTAGATTAATAGTTTATAACAGTAGTGGCTTACTCATACTTGTACTTAGTAATTATATTATGAGTAAAGGTTAGATTAATAGTTTATAACAGTAGTGGTTTACTCATACTTGTACTTAGTAATTATATTATGAGTAAAGGTTATATTAATAGTTTATAACAGTAGTGGTTTACTCATACTTGTACTTAGTAATTATATTATGAGTAAAGGTTATATTTATAGTTTATAACAGTAGTGGTTTACTCATACTTGTACTTAGTAATTATATTATGAGTAAAGGTTATATTAATAGTTTATAACAGTAGTGGTTTACTCATACTTGTACTTAGTAATTATATTATGAGTAAAGGTTATATTAATAGTTTATAACAGTAGTGGTTTACTCATACTTGTACTTAGTAATTATATTATGAATAAAGGTTATATTAATAGTTTATAACAGTAGTGGTTTACTCATACTTGTACTTAGTAATTATATTATGAATAAAGGTTATATTAATAGGAACAAAAACAAACTTTAGACTAGTTTTAGTTTAAATCAATTCTTTATTCAAACACTTTAAACAAAATACACTGATTATCAAAAAAATAAAAATAATACTTATATATCCAGAAGGATTAAAAGTTTTTAAGTGGAGAAACTGGATCATGAACGTAGTAAAAATGTAATCTACAGCCCCCAGTGGCTTAGTAGTAATTCTGAAGGCTTATAACCATAAAAAAGTGGGAACAAGCCTATGGCTGGAATATTGTTTCAATTCTAAAGTACTAAATTCATGTGTGACTTTGGGAAGTGGTGTTGAAACATTCATTTAGCAACTTTTAGTAAACAAATACTTTATTCCCTAGTCAGATTGGAATATGACCATGCTATAGATAAGGAAAATTTGAAATTCTCACAAATTTAAATTAGTATTTACATTATTTTGAGAAGCACTATTACTGTATCAGTTATGCACCTAAACATTAAGTAAGGAACATATCATATGTCTCAAACTTGAATGTCTGGTGATGTGTCACTTCACTTTTATATAACATAACATTAAAGAACAGCAAAGGACTTTTTGGTCCATCTAAACCATTCTATCTACTAAATTAAACACTAAAAAAATAAACTAAAACTCGAAGCCAATCTTTATCATTCAAATATTTATCAAGCTTTCTCTTAAATGAACTACATCTACCATATCTGAAGGCAACCTGCTACAAAGGCCAACTACCTTTTAAAAAATATAACTTATCTTGATGAAACTTTGTTTAATGGATGGCAACTGCCTGTTGTAGAAACAAAATTTCATCATGAATACTCTGCCTAAACAATCTGTCAAAGGAAACCTAACTTAGCTGAAGATGACTCCTACTTTGCCAAAATTTATACTTGTGTCCCCTAGGCTTACCATTAAATGCCAAAAAAGATGGATGATGCATCAACATTATCAGTTCCCTTAACAATCTTAAATACCCCAACCAGATCCCATTAAACTCTTCTTTTTGTCAGGAGAAAACAAATTAAGAGATCTCAACCTATACATCTTTATGCTGGAAAGAGTGCAGAGATGGGCTACAATGTTTCAAAATGATACACTTACATAGTTTAATAAATTTGTGCTACAAAAGGTATGTTGAAGATTGAGACTTATTTTATTGGTAGAAAACATAAGATAGATCAAGGTGACAGAAGGTCCATCAAGGTCACTTATTCAGCCACCAAAGCATTAATTTTGAAGTTACATTTTAGTTTAAACTAACATCTCAACTCACAGCAGAAAACAAACCATTTCATAAATTAATAAATCTGAGAAATAATTTTCCTAAGGAATAGGTTTGAAATAAGCTTCCAAAGTTAACCCGTTACCCCACTATTCAGTTCACATGTCTAAGTATTTTATTCTACTACTGAAACAGAATAACCTCAAATAAATTATCCAAGCCACCAACAATCATAAACAACTGAATTAAGTCGTCTGATTTCTTTTCCAGCTCAACAAAATAATATTTCCAAGCCTCTTTTTATTTCATTTTCTTAATTCAGGTGTCCCTAGTAGCCTGCCTATGCATTTTTCTTACATTTCCTTATCCTTTTAATAAGAAGCAGAGTTGGATAACTAATATAATGGGTTACCTATGAGCATCAATTAGTGTCCCATAAAATAATTGATTAATCAAAATTATGATAAAATTGATTAATATCATGAAATGGACTTACCTAAATTAGTGTTTTTGATTATTACTGTTTTAAGTTATTTCAACTGTTGCTGTTAGAATTTATTATTTTGATTAAATCAAGGTTGTTCAACTTAATCTGTTTGTGGTATAGCTCTCAAAAATAAACACCTAATTGAAATTGGTTTTTCTGATTATAACTACTTTTGATTATTCTAACTATCCAAGTCTCATGTTTAATCAGTTAATGGTCACCTAGCTATAGTAAAGAACCAAAACTATATAAAATATTTTTTGGTGCTAGGGTGAGTGTTTGAGACAGGTAATTGATAATCTTTGTTGCCTGGTGGTTCTTACTTTCTTATCTTTATTCATGAATTTTAAAATTCTTGTTTGATATCTGTTCTACAAACTAAATATTGGAAAGTTGGCATAATCAAATACATCAGTGTTATGGGATTCTGAGGAGTCTGTTTTTGATCCTGTTTTTTATTTATTTATTACTTATGTAGCTGAAACTGTAAATAACATAAGCTGTAAGTTTTCAAAAGTTTTTATGAAATCAGGTTGGTAGGGGAACTGCAAAGGAGTTGGTTTTAATTTAGAATATCTCAATATGTTTCCAAGAATGTAGTAAATGTTATACAGTATTTAGAACTGCAGAGTAATGCATTTAAAATAGAATAAAAAAAGAAGTTAATAAGTGTCTGCATTATACATTATGAATTTTTCTGCAGAGTGTCTAATTGCACTTTGTGGTTACTATAGCTACATGTAATCAATCTGTAAGATGTATGTATAAAAAAATTAAAGATAAGAGTATCAAAATTTTTAAATTTGTCTGGACTAATAATACTGATTTCAAATAGTGTACCACTACTGTATTTGATTTTGGTGTTATAAGAAAGATACAAGTCTTAAAGGGGTAAAAAGAAGGCCAACTGGAATTTTATAATCTTTAAAATAATTGATCTGGGAAGAAAGAGTTCATTATATATTTATTTTTGATAGATCTTACCAGAGTTGATTTGATGACTATGTTTGTGTTTCTAACTAACAAAAAAATTTGATATTCAGTTGTACACATTTTTGTTCCTTATAAATATTAAAATAGAAAAACATTGTATGACCCCTGAGTAACTCGGGGATCTTTCTTTACTTTTCTCAAATATTTTGTTATAATTATGTTAACAAAAATATTTCCTTTCTGAATTGCAAATTAAGATCCATAAAGCCTGAATATTAGAGCTGTGTGAATTTTATGAAGTTTTTACTGTTCTTTAAATTTAATTTTGTACTTCCAGCCAAAGAAGGATTTTTTTTATTAAAACATAAAGGAGGTATGGTAATTGGACATTACTCCCATTTACTTGATCTTACTTATCAACAAATTATTTATTTTAACTCTCATTAGCTTTTACTATATTACAATGTTAATTTTAAGATCTGAGTGAAAGTAAAGAAGAATGTATAACAATATGTCAAACATGCTATACCCACTATATCCTGTAAACTTTAAATTTTCCCAAGATACAAATCCTAAATTTGATTCTCCATCTTTTTGTTTTTGCTTTAGGTTAACGAGATTTGAAAAGACTAATGAGATGCTAGTGAATTGTAATGCTTTATCAGCTTCTAGATTTGAAGTTGCCAGCAAAGAGCTGAAAAGACACACTCAGCTACTAACAGACATGAAGAAAGACCTTGATTCTGTTTTTAGAAGGATACGGTAGGAATAAAATTCTATTTTTTATAATTAATGAAAATTCTTCTGTATAATAACCTATGAAAATATGTAAATATTTAGTTTGAATTAATGAGTTTTAAAATTGGTTGTTTAAAATGAATAATTTTTTCTAATTTATGCATTAACAATAACATCTATTTAGTGGTTAAAAATGGCTGTAACTTACTTGAAAGTAGGGATATTGTTAAAACACAAAATTTTCCAGTTGCACGAGACTGTGTATGCATACATATTTGTAAAAACAAATAGGAATAAATATAAATATAAAGAGGCATATTCCTATTTTCAAAGACCAGCTTCAACTACACAAATAAAGCCCTCTATGTAACCAATTTGATATAGTCGTTAGATGTGTATGGATGTTCAGTGTCTGGTGTTTTAATGTGCAGTTGTGTGGTAAAATGTGTCACATAAATGTATATGTAATATTTCAAAATAATTTTAATTCATTGAAGTATGACATGGTTGAATTTTTCCATGAATGTCAGTTATTTAAACTCTTTCAGATTTTTGAAGATGAAACTTTCTCAGCAGTACCCAGCAGCTTTTTCAGGTAATGAAATAATCACCATGGTTATTGAAGTAGGCTTTACCATATAATTTAGTTTTCTTTTATATAAAGATTAATTTTTTCATATATCTTTTTTACATTTGTGTAGCTAAAACAAACATCTGTATTTTAAAAGTTTAATAATCAAATACAAAGAATAATTACATGCTTGAATGATGGTGTAAGATTAATATGGTGGTTAAAAAAAGTATTTGTGAATGGATATTGTTTCAGGCACCTTATTTTTCATTTTTACATATTCACAGTCTTTTGTTACTTGCAGGTAAATGTATAATCTTTACAAATGTAAAAGAAATAAGCTCACATAATGAGCTGAGTACTTAAACTATTTTAGCTCATGAGTTGAAAAACAGCTAATCTAAATAGTTTTATTGCCTAACTTTAGATTAATATATTACATTAACAAAATTGAAAAGGTACAGAAACATCAGTGGGCATATAAAAAAAATGAAAACTTTTACAATATTATATACTACACTTTTAAAGTGGTTAGTTTTAACCCTTAAAAATGTGTAATTTTTATGGCATGCAGAAGTTTTTTATTTAAGTTAATTAGAACTCTTTTTTTTTTTAGATACATTACAATTATAGAATAGTCTGAAGATATAGATATTGATTTTCTAAGTGAGAGTAAATATTATGATTGCACATTGTATTTGATATAAAACTTATTTTATGACTTTTTTATTTGCTTTGTTGTTTGCATTATTATTTGTGGAGTTCTTCAACTGTAAAGCTAAATACTTTCCATATAATACTTTAGTATAACAGTTTATTATGCCTAAAACTTCACGTGTTTGTATTTATGTCTAGCTTGCAATCGTGAAATTAATGTCTTGGATGAAGAAGAAGAACAAGAAGAAAAAGAAAGCAAACAATCTAGAAACACATCTAAGCCGAAAGATGGTAGCAGTTCAGGAAGTCAGGAAAACTCTCCTAGTTTTGTTACCTCTCCTTCAAGTTCTGATGACGTGGGATGAATATAGTTTATAAAATTTGATTAATATCTGCAAAATTTTCCATTAAATTTAATTTGTAATTGTTTCCTCAATTGAACCTTTTCAGTTAATAGTAGTGAAGCAGAACCTGGTTGAAATTATAGACTGGGCTACAAAAGGTTCTGTGCTTTGTGTTGTTTATTCTTAAAATCTCTGTGTTCTACTAATTCAGAAAGAAAAGTAGACAGAATTTTGTGTTGCCATAAGAACAGAAGCACACAACTAACTGGCTTGTTTATTACTGCTCTATTGTTATAATATTTTTTACAGGTGTGTGTTTAATAACTTGTCAGGATATTAATCTTGGCTTGAATCCTAGGATTTTGGCTTATGTTAATGTTTTGAGGTTAATGCTCTTTATCAGCTGAACTACCAAAACACTAGTCTCAACTAAACTGTCAATTATAGTATGCATATAAACATACATACTTTTGTATCATTTTATGAACTATAGCTACACGTCATGTGCATTAGAGAATTGAGGAAAACAAAGTCAGTTCTGAGTTTCAAAAATATTTCATTTAGTAAAACATTGGTTTTACCAGTAAAGGCATCATTAAGTACTGGTGAAACCATGGTTATAGTAAGTAAAATATCTGTGAAATTTACAAATGTCTCTTTTCCTTAATTCTGTAATAATGAAGTTTCACTAAGTACCAATGGAATCAAGTGTTAATTATATAATATACATTATTTAATTCAAAATTAAATCAAAAATATAAAGCTTATGTGTATCTGTGCTTTAAAGTTGGATGTAATTAACTATGTCATCATTTTCATAAAAAAAATTTTTTGTGTTGGATCAAGTCAAACACTTCAATATTTATCAGATTTTTACATAGACATTTTTCTGTTATTGCTTGTACCAAGGCAGATGATGTTCACTACAGGTTTCATGTATATATTTTACATTTCTGAAATCCCCGTCACACCAAACATGCTCCCTCTTTCAGCCATGGGGGCATTATAATGTGATGGGCAATCCCACTATTCATTGGTAAAAGAGTAGCCCAAGAGTTAGCGGTGGATGGTGATGACTAGCTGCCTTCCCTCTAGTCTTACCCTGCTAAATTAGGGATAGCTAGCACAGATAGCCCTCATGTAGCTTTCCGTGAATTCCATAACAAACAAACATTTCTCAAAAGTGATTTTTTTTCTTTCAATTTACAGAACAAATATCTTTATAGGTATTAGACATTTCTTATTAACTGTACATATGTTTATATAGAATTAGACTCTTAAAGCATAGTTCCATTTGTGTAATGTAAAAAAATTATGTGGTATTACTGCTCAGTCAGTTTTACTGACCTTGTAAGTACCATGTAAACTTGAAACTATAAATACCATAACTCTGAACATGGTAAGAGCATGTTCACAAACTTTGGCAAGCTTTTAGTAAACATTACAAATCTGTTGTACACAAGAAAATCAGATTTTTAATAAAGAATTTTTAATAAAGATTTTCTGGGAATTTACAGCTCCTTTACTGAGTCAGTCTGAGTGAAAAGTAATTTTCATGTTAAGAATAGAAATATTTATTTTCATTTTAGTTTTCATATTCATTTTGCATAACCTCTAGAACCTCCTAAATAAATATCAAGATTGTTTTCAATTAAATTATACTTTATCTCTAATTTTGTTTTACCTTAACAAATTAAACTGTACTTTATCCCTTATTTTGTTCTACCTTAACACTAACTGCAGTGAAATCATCAATGTACAATGAAAAGTTGAAAAATATGAAATAAAATGAATAATACTCTATCTTCACAATTTCAGCTTTTAACCTTTTCACATCTTTTTTCTTTTAATTTTCTTGTTTCATTGCTAGATTTTGTTCTGGGGAAACTATTTGTCATTATGTGAAAAGCAGTAATTTACAGTGCTAGTCCATCTCTTACTCTATACACACACACACACACACACACACACAGATAAAGTAAACAAGTTGATCAAGTTACACTTATGAACTCTTATTCCTAAGCTCCTGGAATTTTAACTTACATTTATTACCTAATCTAAGAAGATTCTAATTTTTACATTTTAGTTACTTTTGTTAAAAATGTACATAGAAAACAATAAATTTAGCACTTATTCTACGTTCCATACTTTTTGCTGTTAGATGCTGGTCTACATTTAACACTATTTTTTTTCTCATTTAAGTTGATTGTTCGAGAAATAATTCATGGAGCTTTCAAATATGCATCTTGGACCACACACAATATATCAGTTACTAGATTTGAATGCCTAAAAATACTGTAATTTATCTAGCTTTGTAAATAACTTATAAATAGATTTAAAAACTTCCATTAACTGTTTTGATTTGAAAAACAACAACAGTGTTGTCATATACAGTTGGGCTGTGTAATAGGCTCGGGCCCACCAGAGTGATGGGTGTCACTGGTTTCTCAGCCACAGCTGGTACATCTCTCAGAGGTCTGGAGGTTGACAGATGGTGTTGGTAGAGGGGAGCTGCAGAGCTCCATAGTCTCTGTTGGAGCTTGCATTTCAATCAAGATGGCTAGCAGGTTTTCTTCATCCATCATCTCTATTTTTGCCAAACCAAGTGTTAGATTAGCTTCTGACATAATTAGGATCAGTGTAAAATTGTTCAAAGTCTTCTAGGTCTCTAAAGATGAAGCCATCCAATTAAGTTTTCCTTCCATAGAAACAAGATGAACACGGGTGGTCGTACAAACAGAAGAATGAAATTACAACTGGCTAGTTGAGTATAGAACAGAGCTAGCTTAGATAAGTACTCGGTCGTTCATAGAAAAAATCAGGATTGAAATGTATGGCTCACTAATTTCTGATTTTCAGTAGTTCAGCAAAGTGTATAGGTTACAAATTTGTAATGGCTTGGTCACAACTACTGTCTGTTCTACAAATAGGTTTTACATATAAAGTGTTCAAAATTTATATAGTAAACAAATTCCTTGCAACTGTAAACATCCAAATCCATTGGGTCTAATACCTGACCAACAACTAACATAGTTGCCTGCTACCCTCTTTCATTCATTCAACCACTCTGGTTGTTATCTCTACAGAGTTTGGGCCCAGTGTGGAAGAAAATGGTGTAAAACTCTAAGCATACTTCCTTCAAAAGTAATTTAAACAGGCTAGGCATTTTACAAGCACCAGTCTTAACTTCTGATCATGGGTATACATTAGCAAGGGTATCTACCTTCCACTAGATTTCTTTCAGATACAAGTTCAGAACAGGCAAAAGTGACTTCAAATTGATGCTGTATAGGTGTTACTTTCTGCCTCCAGCTATACGCTCACAGTATACTCTATCATGTACTTTAACTGCACATTTTACTGGAATAAATATTGAGAAAGCTTTCAGTAAAACCATGTGCTTATAAATTGTTTCAATCTGCTCAATTGCAAATATTAAATCATTAACAAATAAAATGTTAGCCAAACCAAGTCTACATTTGGCAAGCATAAGCTACTCTCTTTGGATTTTGCTTTACTCGGGTAATTTTACCTGTTCAGGAAAATTTTGGTTTGATTCAAATGAAAATATCCTTTGCTAATATTACCAAAACAATCAGGTGGAATTGTATTTTTCCCAAATGAGAGTGAGCTTATCCACTGCTATTAACTATTCAACAAGAAATACACTCTGCCAACTATTTCATTATTGGAACTGAAAATATTTTCTCACCAGTATTAATGAAAATATCTGATGCACTGTATCTTCAAATAACGCTTCACAGGTTAGTAGCTATAGTTTACTTAATATCTCAATGCCTTATAGTACAGATCAAATCCTTCAGTTTCATTAATATGTTGCTTGGCAGTTGTGTTCTCTATGTAATTGATTCATTCATGTTATACAAAACTCATGAATGACTTTATGTAATGTCAATATACACGTGTAACACCACGCATATGTATGTATGCAATATTACCAAAGGTATATATATATAAATTACATACTATCATAATATTAATAGCATTAGGAAAAACCTTTCTTGGATTTGAATGTCATTACAACTGTAACAAATACAAGTTATGTCTCAATGGTTGGAGTACCACAACATGCTGTCACATACAAGCTGATAAACTCAACATTATCTCATGCTTTCACAGAGTACATTATCAGGGATTTTAGTAAGCTAAGACCATTCAGTTAAATTTTTTCAGCTAGGGATAATGTTCATGCTATTTACCACAGTATTCATCAACACTCACTAAATAAAATAACATAACTGTTGATCTTGCTTTACCATTTGCAAGTCAATCCACTCACTACAGTTGACATCACAGAAAAAATTAACATGGGCAAAATCTAATAAAACAAGGACGTTTCCTCCGAGGTTTCTAACTCTCCAGTGGACTTATAATGCTAGAAACCAGTTTTCGATACCCATGGTGGGCAGAACACAGATAGCCCATTATATAGCTTTGTGCTTAACTTCAAACAAACCTAACTATCTGATTCATATTCTGTACTGATAAAGAAGAGACATCTTGTATTACACATAGGGAAGCTATATATACTTGTGCGTACTGGATATGTTAAGTATCATACATTCTGATCCACAGAAATTCATCTAGAACAATTATCACAAAATATACACAAACATTTCACTGCCATAAATTACTCTGTGTGTTGGAAAGTAAGAGTTGCAATGCTCATTCAGTCCTTTTAATCTTATAATCAACAAATTAACTTTATAATAATCAAGTGGCAATCACACAATTGTAATGCATAGATTTCACTGTGACACACCACTTCATTGCTAGGAATGTTTTATTATAACATTTCTGACATACAAGAGTCCTTCTTAGCTGTTGACATGTGTTTATGAATATCCTGACACACGTGCTCAAGGGGAATGACTATACCTTACATCCACAGGAAGCTTTAGTTCTCAATCAAACAATCTGTTAATCTCTTTTCAGTCATTCAGTTGTATAATACACCATCATGACATGGAAAATGATTATATCAGTTGCTTCTGTTCAGATTAACAAATTTCACAAGCTTCCACTTGATTGTTTGTATTACTTGTCCTGCTAAACCATCAAATTGGGTGTGATAGAGTGAATTGCATGTTTTCACAATGTTCAACATTTTTCGTAACTCGAAGAATAGCTGGCTATTGAAACTATCTTCCTGATCCATGTGAATTATTTCAGGTGAGCTAAATTACACCAGCAACATAATATATTAATATATCAACCAATGGGTATGTTTCAGTTGACTTAGTGAAATAATTCATAAAGACCAGCATATCCTGACCACCTCAGTCAGTATCTGGAAGAGAAACAGCAATGTTCATGGCTATACTCTGCAATGGAGAACAAGTAATTCTCTGCTGAAGTTTCACTATACAACATATGCACCATGTCCAAAATTTCAACTCTCATAAAGTTAATAGAACTGCTGTCCCACATTAATACAGATGCATGTAATACCTTGTTGACCTCCAGTCCTTTCATTATGTCTTAGAGCACTGAGGACTACTAACTACAACACAGATTGAGAATCATATTTTGGTGGTTTATAGCAATGGTACAGCACATCTTTGTGCACTTATAATCTCTGATACAAGTGTCACAGGCAATGTATAACCATGCTACTTTCTGTCAAACTGATCTGGTCATGCTTCATCTTGTGAGAGTCCACACTAGATTTGGATTCTTCAGTTACACTTTCCAGAGTTCCTGAACCATTGATCGTGGTATTAAATCACTATGGGATCTTCTACTATATCGTTAAATGTTACTGTTGTAAAAATGACCTTAACTCTCACATGATGTCCAGGATCAGGTTGTTCAGTGAATAAAAAAGGTATTACTGTTTGGCAAGACAAAAAAAACTGTCATTTTTATGTTTTGGATCCAAGAGACAATGAACAATAGAATTATACTCTTCCAGCAATCTAATCAAATGTGCAATGAACCCTTCCAAATTTTTAAAGTTCATGGTTTACTTTTTTATAATTTTCTGTGTTGTGAAATTTCC